ATTAAAAACAAAATCGACCACGTTCAACCTACTGCGAGCAGTATCGGTTATAAGTGTGATCTGGTTTCCTAGTGCTAATTATGTTGGCTAAGAAATATTAATTGCACCAAAACTAATAACCTGGACTGGTACTCTAGTAAAAATTGAGGGTTGTTGGGAAAGTGACTGGTATGCAATATACACACGCATATATAGATGAACTGTACAGTTTTATTTTATTTACATAACATACACGCATACGTGTTTACACACACACACACACACACACGCACACGCACGCGCACACGCGCACGCGCGCACACGCGAACACGCGCACGCACACACGCGCACACACACACACACACGCACACGCGCGCGAGCGATATTCAAAAGAGCCGTGCTCCAGAGCCACCATTTGACAATGTGCAGATTCTCTAGAGCCACCATTTGACAATGTGCAGATTCTCTTGTGCAGATTCTCTAGAGCCAACATTTGACAATGTGCAGTTTCTCCAGAGCCAACATTTGACAATGTGCAGTTTCTCTAGAGCCAACATTTGACAATGTGCAGTTTCTCTAGAGCCAACATTTGACAATGTGCAGTTTCTCTAGAGCCAACATTTGACAATGTGCAGTTTCTCCAGAGCCAACATTTGACAATGTGCAGTTTCTCTAGAGCCAACATTTGACAATGTGCAGTTTCTCTAGAGCCAACATTTGACAATGTGCAGTTTCTCTAGAGCCAACATTTGTCAATGGGCAGTTTCTCTAGAGCCAACATTTGACAGTGTGCAGTTTATCTAGAGCCAACATTTGACAATGTGCAGTTTCTCTAGAGTCAACATTTGACAATGTGCAGTTTATCTAGAGCCAACATTTGACAATGTGCAGTTTCTCCAGAGCCAACATTTGACAATGTGCAGTTTCTCTATAGTCAACATGTGACAATGTGCAGTTTCTCTAGAGCCAACATTTGACAATGTGCAGTTTCTCTAGAGCCAACATTTGATAATGTGCAGTTTCTCCAGAGCCAACATTTGACAATGTGCAGTTTCTCTAGAGCCAACATTTGACAATGTGCAGTTTCTCTAGAGCCAACATTTGACAATGTGCAGTTTCTCTAGAGCCAACATTTGACAATATGCAGTTTCTCTAGAGCCAACGTTTGACAATATGCAGTTTCTCTAGAGCCAACATTTGACAATATGCAGTTTCTCCAGAGCCAACATTTGACGATGCGCTGTTTCTCTAGAGCCAACATTTGACAATGTGCAGATTCTCTAGAGCCAACATTTGACGATGCGCTGTTTCTCTAGAGCCAACATTTGACGATGTGCAGATTCTCTAGAGCCAACATTTGACGATGTGCAGTTTTTCTAGAGCCAACATTTGACAATGTGCAGTTTTTCTAGAGCCAACGTTTGACGATGTGCAGTTTCTCTAGAGTCAACATTTGACGATGTGTAGTTTCTCTAGAAGTTTCTCTAAAGCCAGCATTTGACGATGTGCAGTTTCTCTAGAGCAATGTGCCGTTTCTCTAGAAGTTTGTCTAGAGCCAACATTTGTCAGTGTTAAAATTATCCATATAATCCATGCGGTTGGTGGCCTTACCTGAGCAGCCGTCAGCGTGGCAAAGATCTACAAGGATATCTACGCCCGGTGCTGTTTGACTGGTCCCCCGAGGGAGTCGTACGGTAACATCCCATCGTCACTGTCGTTTGGCGGGCTGCATAGGGAGGTCAGTGTGCTGGCAGCTGGCAGGTACCCATCTCCCGTGATGACATCGTGAGCCTGGCATTTGCAATGAAAGTACAACAGTCAGCACATATCATAAATCAGAGTGTCTGTCGTCGCGCTGACGTCACGCAGAAACAACAACACAGTTTGTGACTACAGAGCTGAAAAAGAGGGGGGGGGGGGGCACTGCCTGACTATGATTCATAGGGCAAATATGCAGACTCTGACAGTATCACTGAGATATGCAGACTCAAACAGTATCACTGAGATATGCAGACTCAAACAGTATCACTGAGATATGCAGACTCAAACAGTATCACTGAGATATGCAGACTCAGACAGTATCACTGAGACATGCAGACTCAGACAGTTTCACTGTGATATGCAGACTCAGACAGTATCACTGAGATGGACTGGTTTATTAAAAGACGCATTCAACAAAAAGCTAAACAAATAGGGGGGGGGGGGGGGCGTTGGTTTTGACCCCTCTTGATCACATCATTATTTTCTCTCTCTGTTGTTTTTCTGTATGTGATTAAGAGATATCAGGTCATGTTTTTGCTGTGTGATTTAGAGACACCTAGTTCATGTTTTCTTTAAGTGAATAATAGACATGTAGTTCATGTTTTAAATATGTTATTAAGAGACAACTAGTTCATGTTTTCTCTATGTCATTTGCAGTCAACAGGTTTGTGTCTTCTCTATGTGATTTACGTACATCTAGTTCATGTTTTCTGTATGTGATTTACAGGCATCTAGTTCATGTTTTCTGTATGTGATTTACAGACATGTAATTCATGTTTTCTTTATGTGATTTAGAGACGCCTAGTTCATGTTTTCTCTATGTGATTTACAGACATGTAATTCATGTTTTCTTCATGTTATTTAGAGACGCCTAGTTCATGTTTTTTCTGTATGATTTAGAGACATCTAGTTCATGTTTTCTGTAGGCGATTTAGACATATCAGGTTTATGTTTTCTCTGGGCGATTTAGAGATATTGGGTTCATGTTTTTCTCTATGCGATTTAGAAACGTCTAGTTCATGTTTTTTCTATGTGATTTAGAAATATCAGGTTCATGTTTTCTCTATGTGGTTTAGATACACCTAGTTTGTGTTTTCTCTGTGTGTATTAGTTATAACGAGTTCGCGTTTTCTCTATGTGTTTTAGATACACCTAGTTCGTGTTTTCTCTATTTTGTATAAGATACACATAGTTCGTGTTTTCTCTACGTGATTTAGAGATATCAGGTTCATGTTTTCTCAATGTGTTTTAGATACACATAGTTCGTGTTCTCTTTTCTGTTAGTATTAGATACAACTATTTCATGTTTTCCACATTTCACTTATTCTGTTGGCAGGATTTGTGTGTGTCCTATCCAGCGCCAATTATATTTATCTCTTATTTCATTATAGTTTGTTAATTTTTCGATTGAAGCTTGATTAGCGATTATAGGAAACCAGGTTATATCTTCTATTTCTGGAGTTCCCCAGTCAATGGATGTAAAGCACACAGCTATGAGTTGTCTTGTAACGACCGAAACCTCAATTTGTTGTCGACCCTGTTACCTGTCAACAAATATTGTGTTGCTTGGCAATGTACCACTGCATGCCTTATGAGAACGGAAAGAGTTAAACTGGCCAGAATAAGGTTGTAAAACTGATTACGTCTGACTCGAAAGACGAAGCCATACAGCAGACAGGGGAGATAACGCAATGACAAAGAAGAATAACTCCTTCAAATGAACAGATATAAAGTATGAATAATATTGTTTTTCTTTCATCTAAAACCGTCAGTGCTGACCCACATCTAAAGTTACATTTGTCTTATTACGTGTATAGCCGTGGTCTAGCTTTTGTCAGGATTGCAATGTTTAGAAAAACAAGTTATTTTAGAAAATGAGAAATCAAAACCCGAGGCAAGAATGAATGGCAATAAGATTTTAAAAAAATGAAAACTAGAATGAAGAAAGAATTATGCCACACACAAACCAAGAAAATACGAATTACACAAATGAATGAACGGATGAATAAATAAATCAATAAGAAAACGGAGAGTAAAAGTAAAATTAAGTAAAAGACCAATTTCCACGTCCTCGGGCATATAGGGCTAGACCTATGCTTTATAGACCAATCGGAACTTGCTGGCTGATGTGGTCATCATTATGCCGGTCGCCTTTACTTCTCAGGCTAGTTCTCATATAAGGCTAGGTCGATCTGGGAGCCAAACTAATGTAAAAAAAAAAAAAAAAGTATGGCTCCCATTAGGACGCAAACCCAAGAAACGTGTAACAGCCACATCACGAGGGCTCCCAGAGAAAACAAATGTAGAGTAGAAACAAATAAAGGAAATCAATGGCTTCCCTAACATAAAAAGGTTTGGCAATAAATATTTACGTGACACTGCCAGTAACTAAAGGCTTGGGTTAGACTAGTATTGAAACTTTACACAGGATAGGCACCTGAGGTGCACAGGTCATACACAATGCACACAGCAACTATCTAGGATACAGCTGTATCAGTCATGCCTCCTCCACGGCTTGTAGGTGTTCCATTATTCACACAATGGCTGAAATAAGGCTGTAATAGTCACGTCTCATCCACAGTTTTCGATAAGGCTGTAATAGTCACGTCTCATCCACAGATTGGGATAAGGCTGTTCAGGCCACGTCACACCCATAGACTGGCTGGGCTAAGGCTGTATTGGTCACTCCTTCATAGATTGGTTGGGATAAGGCCCCAATGATCACGTCGCATCGACCGACTGTTGAACCAAAGCTGCACTAGTCACGTCTCTTCAGCAGACGGGTTGGAATAAGGCTGTACTGGTTAAATCTCATCCACAGACTGGTTGGGATAAGGCTGGCTTGGTCACGTCTCATCCACAGACTGGCTGAGATAAGGATGTTTTAGGTCACGTCTCCTCTAATGGTTGTACGTGTTTAATTGTCTACAAGACTCCAACCCAGTCGCCTAGTACCTGCTTGTCAACAAATATCTACAAATTAAGACTAAGGATTGTAATTTATACTGGCATATTTAGTATTCAGTCAGTGAAGATATAAGAACAACCACAACAAACACAACAAGAACAAAAACAACACAAATAAAAATAACAAACAACTAATAACATGCGACCGTGTGTTCGGCCCTGAGCTCTGTCATGACAAGAACAACTAGAACAAACAGGACAATAACGACAACAACAACAACAACAACAACAGCACTAAGAGACAACAGGAAACCAGGTTACCCGATGTTTGGCTCTGAAGCACATGAACTCTGCTACGCCAAGAAGAATAGACAACACCAGACCCACAATGAGAATGTAGAACACACCGGCCAGGTTACTGAGTGACAGCGACATCTTGCCTTTCTGAGGGAGACAGTACACACAGTCATTCTAAACATCATCGCCATCGCCATTTTCTATGGCGAGTAGTTCAGATTACCATGTTCGCCCATAATCACCCACAATCTGTTCAGTTGCTGGTGGTTTGCCATACCGCTCTGAACCAGGCAGACTCAACCTTTAATGGGCTCAAAAAAAAAAAAAAAAAAAAACCGACTCCAGCTGTCTTCTCCTCTGGTGGTTACCGTGGTTACCGGCTGTAAACTTCTCGCTGTTCATTATTTTCTGGAATTGAGTCTTGTTAGTTTTTGTGTGCACAGATGTGGCTTATTTGTGTGTGTATGTGTGTGTGTGTACACGCGCACACACGCACACACACGCATACACACACACGGTTAGTTCCTTGCCTCTCGGGCAGATGCATTCTGACTTTCCTAATTAGTTGACTCCCACGAGGTAACATGCAAGCCTGTCGGATCATCATCATTATCAAGTGCATTGCAAGCTGACGTCGGCGTTCATGCATCTTCACAGACCTCAGTGTTCGGTGTTCTAGATCAATTCCATTGATGATATTTCTCCATGTCACTGTGTTAAACCATTCATTTCTCTTGGTCTGCCTCTGCCTCTTCTACCAGTGATATTTTTCAGTCCTCTTTTTCTCATCACATGACCAAAGAACTTTGTTTTGTCTCCTTCTCACTGTTATATATAATGTTCCACTTTCATTGAACATTTTCAAGAAATCATAACTAGTTATTCTTTCAGTCCACGATATTTGCAACATTCTTTTTAAGAACCACATTTCAGTTGCCTCTTCAGAATTTGTTTCCTCACAATCCAAGATTTACTGCCATACAACAGAAAAGGCTCAATATAACTTTTCACGGCTCGTTTTATGATGTATTTTTGTTGTTTTGTTAGGTAATAATAGTAATAGTAATCAATGTAAATATAAAGAGAAGTATAATACTTCTGGGAAGGTTTCGGAGTTGAGTACCTTGTTGCCTTGCATAGCTCCACATTGTCCTTTCTCCACCCACCATTTCTGGTAGAGCGTGTATAAAGTGCCTTCTTCCTTCAGCTTCAGCACGGCCACGTTCACAGGGTCCCTGAGGTAAACAATTACATTAGACTTTAGTTAACATACAGCGTTAGTATGGTCACTACAGTGAAGTATACATTAGACTTAACATACAGTTTTGGCATAAGGTAAGTTAACATATAGTGTCAATGAGGCCTATATGGTGAAGTATACATCAAACTTAAGTTAACATATAATAGTAACAGGGTCTCTGTGGTAAAGTAGAAACTTAAGTCAACATATAATATTATTATGGTCAAAACAGGTAATTATACATTAAACTTAACGTACAGTGTTGGCATAAGTTAAGGTTATATATAATGTTGACGAGGTACCAAAACAATGGACTAGGTTTAATCCAAAGAAGAAAGTGAATTATTGTTTTCTATAACTACTCAATGATAGATCCAGGCTGACCATTACTATTCTAGGGTAGACCCAGCGTCCCATTACTACTCTAGGATAGACCCAGGTTCACCTTGACTACTCTAGCATAGACACAGGTTCACCATTACTACTCTAGGATAGACCCAGGTTCACCATTAGTACTCTATGATAGATCCAGGTTCACCATTAATACTCTATAATAAACCCAGGTTGACTATTAGAACTCTAGGATAGACCCAGGTTCACCATTACTACTCTAGAATAGACCCAGGTTCACCATTACTACTCTAGGATAGACCCAGGTTCACAATTATTACTCTATAATAAACCCAGGTTGACTATTAGAACTCTAGTATAGACCCAGGTTCACCATTACTACTCTAGTATAGGCACAGGTTCACCATTACTACTCTAGTATAGATCCAGGTTTACCATTACTGCTCTAGTATAGATCCAGGTTCACCATTACTACTGTAGGATATATCCAGGTTCACCATTACTACTCTGGGATAGATCCTAGTTCACCATTACTACTCTGGGATAGATCCAGGTTCACCATTACTACTCTGGGATAGATCCAGGTTCACCATTACTACTCTGTGATAGATCCTGGTTCATCGTTACTACTCTAGGATAGATCCAGGTTCACCATTACTACTCTGTGATAGATCCTGGTTCACCATTACTACTCTGGGATAGATCCAGGTTCACCATTACTACTCTGGGATAGATCCAGGTTCACCATTACTACTCTAGGATAGATCCAGGTTCACCATTACTATTCTGGGATAGATCCTGGTTCACCATTACTACTCTGGGATAGATCCAGGTTCACCATTACTACTCTGGGATAGATCCAGGTTCACCATTACTGATCACATTACCCACCGAGTGCTGATGGTCTGTAAAAATATGGAACGCTCTGCCCATATGCCCGATGCGCCGAAAGGCGTGAAAAGGGATCTTTACTTTACTTTACTTACTCTGTGATAGATCCTGGTTCACTATTACTACTCTAGGATAGATCCAGGTTCACCATTACTACTCTAGGATAGATCCAGGTTCATCGTTACTACTCTAGGATAGATCCAGGTTCACCATTACTACTCTAGGATAGATCCAGGTTCACCATTACTACTCTAGGATAGATCCAGGTTCACCATTACTACTCTAGGATAGATCCAGGTTCACCATTACTACTCTAGTATAGATCCAGGTTCATCATTACTACTCTGGGATAGATCCAGGTTCATCATTACTACTCTGGGATAGATCCAGGTTCATCATTACTACTCTGGGATAGATCCAGGTTCATCATTACTACTCTGGGATAGATCCAGGTTCATCATTACTACTCTGGGATAGATCCAGGTTCATCATTACTACTCTGGGATAGATCCAGGTTCATCATTACTACTCTGGGATAGATCCAGGTTTACCACTACTACTCTGGGATAGATCCAGGTTCACCATTACTACTCTGGGATAGATCCAGGTTCACCATTACTACTCTAGGATAGATCCAGGTTTACCACTACTACTCTGGGATAGATCCAGGTTCACCATTACTACTCTGGGATAGATCCAGGTTCACCATTACTACTCTAGGATAGATCCAGGTTTACCACTACTACTCTGGGATAGATCCAGGTTCACCATTACTACTCTAGGATAGATCCAGGTTTACCACTACTACTCTAGGATAGATCCAGGTTTACCATTACTACTCTGGGATAGATCCAGGTTCACCACTACTACTCCAAGATCTAATTATAGTTATAATTTGAAGAGCTATATATAGTTATAGTTTCAGTTTAAAAAAACTACCAAGTAAACGAAATTCCGACATTCTTGTTTGAACCACCGTTACAATGTAAAATAAAAACCCAGCTATTCACATAATAGTGTCATAAAAAATGAACACATCACACTTTTAACAGAAGGCATGAAAACAGAACAAATCCACCAGGGAAGCGAACCACATACTACCTTAATCTGGAGTTTCTCGGAGTAGCAATTCCGAATCCTTTGTTATTCAAATTGCCCCCAACGCTCATGGTATCACAGGGCAGACGGTTGTTCCGGTAATCAACAAGTGGCGATTCTGCCAAAAACGCGTACCTCCCTTTTGACTGAAGCACTCTCTGGAAGGCATCAAACATGGAATATGTCAACAACAACAGCCCTGGTATATGACCAGCCTTGGTATATGACGCAGACATTTACATCTTTCCAGTGATCTGGATATTTGATGTTCTGGTTCCATTCTTTTGATATTCCACCGTGTCATTTTCATAGATCATCCAGCTCCCCTTTTGATTTTCCACTGTGCCATTGTCACAGATCATCCAGCTCCCCTTCTGATATTCCACTGTGCCATTGTCATAGATCATCCAGCTCCCCTTTTGATTTTCCACTGTGCCATTGTCATAGATCATCCAGCTCCCCTTTTGAATTTCCACTGTGCCATTGTCATAGATCATCTAGCTTCACTTTTTTTATATTCCCCCGTTCCATCGTCTCAAATCATCTAGCTCTACTTCTCCCGCTCCGCCACCGTCCCTTCCACCAGTGATATTTCTGGTCAGGTCTCATGTTCCCATTTGTTGGCTGCCATGTACAATCAGTATCCTTGAATAGCTCAAGAAAACTTCCAAACAACTCTTCAATGCGCAGTGCGCTAAACTTGTTTTGTGTATGTCTCGACCAGATCAAGACTCTTGTAACTTGTCTGGGTATCTGCTTTTCTGCTTGCTATGTAATCACCATAGATAATCTGGGGTGTTCTCGAGTAGAGATATCGCTCAATCTTCTAGTACCAGACGAATCGCCGTGCGGTTTTTGATTACTCATATATCAGATTAGTTCTATTGTTTGCAGCAGAAGTATAGAGAACAACTAAAACACTGACAAGTAAACTAAATACAGGAATAGTAATTTACTGGTACTCGCGCAGAGTAAAGGACATCGAAAGATATGATAAAATCACCAATATGGAGATTTGGCCGAGAATTACACAAATCCCAATCCATCAAAACGTGAAGAAAAGATACTGTTGTTGGATGTGACACATATTGAAAAACATAAAAACAGTTTAACTAGAAGTGCATCACACTGGAACCACACAGGGTCATATAAATATAGGATGGCCAAACAAGGGGGAAAGGGAGTTAGAGAGTGTCGGTTACAAAGGACACGGAGAGCGTGGGGTGAGCTAAATGCAGAAGCTAAGGATAGGGGGACTTTCGTGTGTGTGAGTTGTTCGAGGGCATATGCTCCACTGGAGGATAAGGAAAGATAAAGAAAATAAATAGTTTTAGACAAAATTCAAATTTTCATTTAAGTGTCGTCATCTTCATCATCCCTCCCCTTCCATCACCACCACCACACGCAACAGTAGAGGCACCCATGCCCCTCCATCCCCACCACCACACGCAACAATAGAAGCACCCATGCCCCTCCATCACCACCACCACACGCAACAATAGAAGCACCCATGCCCCTTTATCACCACCACCACACGCAACAGTAGAAGCACCCATTTCCCTTTATCACCACCACCAAACGCAACAGTAGAAGCACTCATGCCCCTCCATCACCACCACTACACGCAACAGTAGAAGCACCCATGCCCCTTTATCACCACCACCAAACGCAACAGTAGAAGCACTCACGCCCCTCCATCACCACCACTACACGCAACAGTAGAAGCACCCATGCCCCTCCACCACCACCACACGCAACAATAGAAGCACCCATGCCCCTCCACCACCACCACACGCAACAATAGAAGCACCCATGCCCCTCCATTACCACCACCACACGCAACAATAGAAGCACCCATGCCCCTTTATCAACACCACCACAAGCAACAGTAGAAGCACCCATTCCCCTCCATCACCACCACCAGACGCAACAGTAGAAGCACCCATTCCCCTCCATCACCACCACCAAACGCAACAGTAGAAGCACCCATGCCACTCCATCACCGCCACCACACGCAACAGTAGAAGCACCCATGCCCCTCCACCACCACCACACGCAACAATAGAAGCACCCATGCCCCTCCATCACCACCACCACACGCAACAGTAGAAGCACCCATGCCCCTCCATCACCCCACCACCACACGCAACAGTAGAAGCACTCATGCCCCTCCATCACCACCACCACCACACGCAACAGTAGAAGCACCCATGCCCCTTTATCACCACCACCACACGCAACAGTAGAAGCACCCATGCCCCTCCAACACCACACGCAACAGTAGAAGCACCCATGCCCCTCCACCACCACCACCACCACACGCAACAGTAGAAGCACCCATGCCCCTCCATCACCACCACCACACCCAACAGTAGAAGCACCCATTGCCCCACCATCACCACCACACGCAACAATAGAAGCACCTATGCCCCTTTATCACCACGACCACACGCAACAGTAGAAGCACCCATGCTTATCCATCACCACCACCACACGCAACAATAGAAGCATCCATTCCCCTCCACCACCACCACACGCAACAATAGAAGCACCCATGCCCCTCCATCACCACTACCACACGCAACAGTAGAAGCACCCATGCCCCTTTATCACCACCACCACCACACGCAACAGTAGAAGCACCCATGCCCCTTTATCACCACCACCACACGCAACAGTAGAAGCACCCATGCCCCTCCAACACCACACGCAACAGTAGAAGCACCCATGCCCCTTCACCACCACCACACGCAACAGTAGAAGCACCCATGCCCCTTCACCACCACCACACGCAACAGTAGAAGCACCCATGCCCCTTCACCACCACCACACTCAACAGTAGAAGCACCCATGCCCCTTCACCACCATCACACGCAACAGTAGAAGCACCCATGCCCCTTTATCACCACCAACACCACCACCACCACCACATGCACCAGTAGAAGCACCCATGCCCCTTTATCACCACCAACACCACCACCACCACCACATGCACCAGTAGAAGCACCCATGCCCCTTTAACACTACACGCAACAGTAGAAGCACCCATGCCCCTTCACCACCACCACACGCAACAGTAGAAGCACCCATGCCCCTTCATCACCACCACATGCAACAGTAGAAGCACCCATTCCCCTCCACCACCACCACCACCACACGCAATAGTAGAAGCACCCATTCCCCTCCACCACCACCACACGCAACAGTAGAAGCACCCATTCCCCTCCACCACCACCACACGCAACAGTAGAAGCACCCATTCCCCTCTACCACCACCACCACCACACGCAACAGTAGAAGCACCCATGCCCCTCCATCACCACCACACGCAACAGAAGAAGCACCCATTCCCCTCCATTACCACCACACGCAACAGTAGAAGCAACCATGCCCCTCCACCACCACCACCACCACACGCAACAGTAGAAGCACCCATGCCCCTCCACCACCACCACACGCAACAGTAGAAGCAACCATGCCCCTCCACCACCACCACACGCAACAGTAGAAGCAACCATGCCCCTCCACCACCACCACCACCACACGCAACAGTAGAAGCACCCATGCCCCTTCATCACCACCACACGCAACAGTAGAAGCACCCATGCCCCTTCACCACCACCACACGCAACAGTAGAAGCACCCATGCCCCTTCATCACCACCACATGCAACAGTAGAAGCACCCATTCCCCTCCACCACCACCACCACCACACGCAATAGTAGAAGCACCCATGCCCCTCCACCACCACCACACGCAACAGTAGAAGCACCCATGCCCCTCCACCACCACCACACGCAACAGTAGAAGCAACCATGCCCCTCCACCACCACCACCACCACACGCAACAGTAGAAGCACCCATTCCCCTCCACCACCACCACACGCAACAGAAGAAGCACCCATGCCCCTCCAACACCACACGTAACAGTAGAAGCACCCATACCCTCTCCATCACCACCTAACCATCACCCCTACCACCACCACGTGCAAACGGATTCGTCATTACCAAATGAACTAGATTGAGGCCATCCGAGTGGCCGTGGCTGAAGTCGTGGCTGTGGCTTACGTGGGACACACACAAAAAACTGACCTCGATGCCTTCCTCGTTGGTCTCAACCAGAACCTCCGGGTGGCTCTTCATGTATTTCCCCATCTGTCTGTAGACAGGGACCTCAGAGTGCTGTAGTTGGAAGGAGATATTCAAGTAGTGAGTCACACTGGCAAAATAATGACAACAGGTCTATATGACCAAGAGACAAGATCATTGGGTCTACAAGACATGAAGATATCCAAGGAAAGACAACCTGCCTACAAGACAAAAGTACATGCAGGTAATTTGTTAAACAAGACAACAAGACATCCAAGAAAAGAAAACTGGGTCAACAAGACAAGAAGACATCTAGGACAAGACAACCGGTCAACACGACAAGAAGACATTCAGGGAAAGAGAACTGGTCTACACGACAAGAAGACATCTAGGACAAGACAACCGGTCTAAAGAGAACTGGTCTACAATGTAATGACTCATCGTTACTGAAAACGTGGTGTTTACAAAGATCAAAGAGTTATCAACAGTCCGGGTACACTGGAGGGCGGCATTAGTAGTTCAAATAAGTCCATACAGAGAGGCGCTAAATGAGTTACAAGTAAACTTACAAACATTAGAAAAACAGGCTAAAAACATAATGTTACAGTACACGGACACTAACAACAATAATAATAAGCTATGTAATGAACCGTTTAAGATGCTAAGACAGGGAAAACCGTGAAATTGAAGAAAGGAAATATTGTAGCTAACGTAGATAGAGATATTCTAGAGGTAAATAGTTCAACGGGAGAGGCACCGGGAGGAAGGAATAGCTATAAAATAGCAACTGTTACTACACATAAAGTCGATGCTAATCGATTTACCGGTTTCTCCGGTAGGCGAAGATATGATAACGAGAGATCACACTACAATATAGATAAGCGGAGTTTCAGACCACAGAGACCGAATTCATACCATGACAATCAGAGTCAACTGAGGTCATGTGTACAAAACGGAAGTGGGCAAATAATTAACTTTAACAGAGCTGAGCGTTTACAAAAATTAGAAAATAACAGAAATATCAGAGCACAGGAGCAGTGGCGTAATTTTGGTAACAGATATCAGAACATTAATAGAGTAGGAAATATCCATGATAATAACCGAAGTCGCGTTAGGTCATGTAATTCAGATCCCAGATTCCGCATGATGAGCACTAATCAAACCAACAAATTCAAAAGAGACAGGTTAAGAAAATTAGACTACAATAAGAATATAAGATTGCAAAACTTAGGAAATAATCGCGAGGTCAGTAACTTTAACGGAGTTTGGCAGACAGGTAATAAAAGCACGTGCGCTGCTGATGATGAGACAAACAGATTAGAAGTAAGAGGGTTAAAAGAGAGGAATCCCATGAAACGGTTTAATAAAAGCTACATTAACGAAGTAAATGCGGTAATTATAAACGGGACACACGGTCAATACTTTAAAGAAGAAGGGAACATATAGACACATAAAGAGTTAATACCTGCCAACGTTAAGTCGGAACAAGAAGAAGATAAAGAGGCTTGTTTAGCATTGGAATGGTTATGGGAAGTAAACGCGGTAGAAGTAAAAAGGCTAGATAGCAATAGCACACATAGGAAAGTAGAGAGGGTAGAGACAATTGAAGAAAGAAATCAGCAGGATTTGTCTTATAGACAGGTGATGCCTACAGAAGAAGAAGGTGAAGGAACAAATACATTACCGTTTGTAGTTAGTAACATACAGGTAGATCTATTCTCAGAAAACTACGACGCAGATAGTGAAATTGGGATCACAAACAAAACGGGTCGTAGAATTTTAGTCGCTGTTAGAACCAGGACTAATACTCCGTCTAGTGTGAAAGAATTAAAACCGTCAGAAGTACCAGTTAAAGGTACATGTAATAGTAGAAGAGAAGAAGAAGAAACAGTAGAAACTTCTCCTAACAAAAGAGCAAAACAGGAGACAAGAATGTCGGGCATTAAAAATTCGCATACCGATTTAAACGAGCGGCATGGTTTACAGGAAAATAAAGATGCGAGAAAATCACATGCATTAGATGGAAATTTACACGGAAATAAAAGTAGCCAGAAGTGTCGTAATGAAGTGGCATCTACCGAATATAGCAAAATTAATAAGTTGTTCCACTTTATTTCAGAGCTCTGGAGCGTCTAATAAATGGCATACACAACACCTTTTAGTATAATTAAGGCGAACACATATTTACGATGTTTAACTTGATTTACAATAAAATACTTTAAATACACACAGAAACAGGATCATACTGATATCTGGATTACACATATTGCTGGGACTTATAACATTTTCTTTATTTACGACGGAAAGGCTTTAAATGTACAAAAGTAACTAATCATTTAACAAAAGAAAAAACACAGATCACTAATGAGACAGAAGAAGAAATAGAACTAGAACAATTAGCATCCACTACAGTTAGTAGGCCAGAATCATCAGGGGGTAGACTGAATTTATACCCTGAGTAAACCATACATTAATTACAGCTTCCCCCCCCCTCCCTTTCTTCCCCCATGACTGACTGAAAGGGGATCGTTCGTAAAATGGTTCAATAAATGTGGGATTGTAGGGTGTATAACAAGTAATTAGTTTCACTAATTACAATTAACGTACGTTATATTGCTGTGTACAGAGGTACCACGCTCGCTACACATATTCTGTTGTTGTGTCTACATGTCATTTGTCCGACAATATTAAATATATACCGTTGTTTTGTCCCTACCATTTAATATTTACATTTGGTTTTGCACTATGAACGTTTTTTTAATCGTGTTGTACTCTCCCGGACAAGTGAAAATCCATACGTTCGGTTGTGGGTGAAGATTACAATACCTACATGTTTTATGTTCGCTAAGAGAGTTACTGGCCACAAAACCTCTCTTATACATTCTGTCAGAATGATGACTGATTTGAGTTTAACCAGACTTTACTGAGGTACACAGTTAGAAACGTACTTGGCGATCAGCCAGTCCAAAGCATGACATGATTGGTAACTGAATATAGGCCGGCTATTTCTTTACAGAAGATGCGATATGCATTAAACAGAGGAAGAAACCTCTTAAGGAAGCAACAATAAAAGCTGTAGACTATCAAGGTAGATAAATAACGTAAATACAGGAGGTGGCATGGTACATTCGACTTGAAGAAATACTACGGTTGTTTCCGAGAAATTTCTCTCCAATTAATATACCTAACGGTATAAGAATTATTTATACTCTGTAAAGGTTATACCTTATTATTCAGTCTATGTTGACTTTCTCAGAGATTCTATTTTCATCCTTTCTTGGGGAGATGACATTTTCGAGTTTTACTTTTTTGATAACTGGGGATACATGGCATGTCATTTCTTGTATACAATGTTTTCAGGTTTGAGTTTATAAAGTGGGAATACAGATACTATTTCTTTATACTTTAGACAACCCCGCACATTCATTAGGGATACCAGTGAATACGAGGTTGTTATGCTAATACAACGAGGGAGTTGTATCGTTTTTTTTTTTATGTCTTTAGAATTATTGACTATTAGTTATTGTATGCATGTCACGTTTTCATTATACTGCATGAATTTTATGATGTTACATGTTATGTTGTATGCTTTCATTACGTGGCTAGATGTTCATATAAGGTTTAGTTAGGTAGCGGGTATAATTGGAGTAGTTTTTATAAAATTGAAGATAGGAAACAATTTTGTTAAAAAATGTGTGTGGCGAATGTAATGAAATATAGGCAGAAAGGGGTTAAATGAACAAAGCATACATTTCAGACCACCACACGGCGTACTAATCCATCACTGTGTGAAATGACAGAAATGGGTGATTAGAAAGCCATGGCCTAACCAACTATGCAGAACAGCTTTATGATAACCGCCATGACATCTGACAGTGAGGTATGAAACATTCGACGAGTGCCCGTGAGCTGTGACCAGCTGATGAGATACGTTCATCCAAACGTGACCACCAAAGACAGGTGACAGAGAAGTGATGGAGAAGGTACGCCAGAAAGAGCGGGAAAGCGGGAGAATAAAGTCTGAGCCAGGGGCTTGAGAAGGGAGTTAGCCCCGGAACCGCTTGAGAGGACAGTTAGGACCGGACTGCTTGAGAGACCAGTTGAGAAAACTAGTGCTGTACTTCGTTAGAAGGTATATGTTAAACTTGGAGTTTAGCTAGAACAGTGAGTTAGCCCCGGAACCGTTCGAGAGGACAGTTAGGGCTGGACCTCTAGAGAAACCGGTTAGAAGAAAACTAGTGCTGTACTTCGTTTAGAAGGATATGTTAAACTTGGAGTTTAGCTAGAACAGTGATTGAGTAACTCGTAGAGAGACATAAGAATAGACAGTTACCAGATAACGAAGTGTTCATATACTATTGCTTATTGAATTTATGAAGTCTGTGTGACGAGAATATTGTGAATAAACCAGCTCTTGTGTAATTGTTACATCACTGGCCTTGTTCTTAAATACGATTGAAGAGAGCTACGAACTATATTCATTCACCCTTGGCCGAACTAGGCACATCTATTTCTTGGGGGATGTATAGGCACGACTGTGCCACATACAAGACAAGAAGACATGCAAGTAAAGACAGCTGGTCTACATGACAAAAAGACATGAAAGTAAAGACAACCGGTCTACAAGACAAGAAGACATTTAGGGAAAGACAACTGGTCTACATGACAAGAAGACATTCAGGGAAAGACAACCGGTCTACATGACAAAAAGACATTCAGGAAAAGACAACCGGTCTACACGACAAGAAGACATGCAAGTAAAGACAGCCGGTCTTCACGACAAGAAGACAGGCAAGTAAAGACAGCCAGTCTACAAGACACGAAGACATGCAAGTAAAGGCAGCCGGTCTACAAGACAAGAAGACATGCAAATAAAGACAGCCGGTCTACACGACAAGAAGACATGCAAGTAAAGACAGCCGGTCCACACCACAAGAAGACATGCAGGGAAAGACAACCGGTCTACACGACAAGAAGACATGCAAGTAAAGACAGCTGGTCTACACCACAAGAAGACATTTAGGGAAAGACAACCGGTCTACATGACAAGAAGACATTCAGGGAAAGACAACCGGTCTACATGACAAGAAGAC